AGCGTCACTCACGGCGCAGCCTGGCGAGGCCCGAGCTGCAGGAGGCTGCAGGGGCTCGTCAGGAGAAACCTCTTCTGTGAGAGGCCGATGCATGAATTCAAAGGAAAATGAGCTTTAGTAGAAACTTAAAATAGACGTGGCAAAGAAATTCTACACTTAAAGAAAAAAAAAAATGGAGAGGCCTGGCAAAGCATCGAGAACTTTACAGGATGAAAGCAGTGAGTGGGTTTGAGTGATTTTTGAGTTAACAGCACTCAAAAAAGTACTTAAATGGAAGAAGCACCCTCGCAGTGACACAGCCTCACAGCTCGTGGGAGTGCCTGGAACCGGCGCCATGAATCACACTTCTCCTTGGAGACGGTTCTCATGGATCTCATCCTGAATGCAGAGAGTTTTCCCATCCCAGACGCTCCCCTCTCACGCCCGACAGGAATATAGATATGAGAACCACCATGAACGCAGGCGTAAGGACCCCGCTGGCTCTGCATCCTCCTAACACCAAAGGGGTAACGTTCGAACTGCTCAAGTGACAAAAAGCAGAGCTGTACGACACACGTCAGTCGTCAGCTCAAGCAGCAGATGCAACCTTGCCCTAATCTAAAAATAAAGACTGATTTACGACGATTCTTCTGAAGTGCACGCACCATTTAATTGGAAATTCTTATTACGGGGTTTGAAATAGCGTATAAATATCTGGAAGTCCTTGCCGAGGCAGAAAAGGACAGCATGCTTGTTATTTATAAAATACAGACTTAAATGCCCCCTCCCCCCGCCTAGAAAACCCTGGTAGCTGTCAGCAGAAAAGCAGCAAGCTATTGTATCCGGTACATACCATCAAATCATTCCCTGTGTGCTGGCATGGGCAGACAGTTCTTTCTCACAGACCTTACCAAGGCAGTAATTGGGACTGTGAGTTTCCAATATGATCGTAGATAACGCAAGATAAAATTACAGCATCTCCACTCAGTATTTAAAAAAAAAAAAAAAAAAAGCACATTTTCAAGCATACTAACCCAAGTTGTATGTTGTGTTATCTGGTAAAAGGATACTGCAAGGAGATTTCCAGCATCCCAGAACAATCACCGGTAACACCGGTCTAAAGAATTCCAAATCCAGTTTACAAAACATATACACCAAATACAAATGTATTTGCCAGTCAAGGTTGAAGGTTTTTAAGGCCTGAATTCTGAAGTAGACATTACAACCTTTCCTCAGAAATCTCAAGAGCTATATACAAATCAAATTCAGATTCTCATATGGCCTCAACTCCACTTTATACAGCTTCGAATTACGATAGGAATAACAAAAACGGATCTGCTGAAAGTGGTAATTTTAACTTGCAACTGTATATTGCAAAAACAGTGCACTACCTTCTAGAACTCAGAAGCAAATTTTCTCACCTTAGAGGCCACCAAAATACTTCAAGGACAGCAAACCATAATCAGACAAATCTCCCATCACTCTGATCTCCCATACCACCTATCTCCTGAATTCACCAGGGAGCTGTCGAGAGTCTTGACCATCCTTCTTATATGTAAAAACCAAACTGCATCAACTCCACATTAAAAAGAAGACAAACCTTTAATATTAAATTTAAACAGATTTCTAGAATGAACCGTTCTCAGAACAGTTCACCATTGGTACAAAAGCATTACAGTACTTCATACATAAAATAACACACTGTTAGGGAAGAAATCCTAAAGAAACCTTATAAAATGCACTTAGGTCACCCAAGCACACCATATCCCCTCAAACGACAGCAGAACATCAGCAGAAGTGTTAGAATGAATGCACCATTTTGCCACTTTAGAAAAGAAAATGGCTAATTGGCTTCCATCTCTCTGATGGATGGCAAATACAGAAATTCTGTAGTTGCAGGAATTCTGCTCTTGCCCCACGAAGTTACTATTATCCACACAAACCTTGTAGAACAGCGAGTCTACCTCTCTTAAATCCAGAGTGCTGCCTCTTGGAGCAAAGTTACGCTCCGCAGCGGTAAGTGGCAACGCTGCTGGGCCAGATGCCTTTACCAGTCCCCACTGTAGTTTTAAGATGGTGCTGAGACAAACAGGATGCAAGTACGTCAGCGTAATTAACACTGAATTATAAAAGACGGATGTAATAAATTAAAACAGTCAAGTTCTAGTGGTATGTTTCTCAGATTGATTACTCTGTTAAGACTTCATCAAGCTGTGAGGTACTTTCACCTCCATGAACAGAACAGCACTGAGCAAATTTTCAATCCAAGCGTCTTTAATCTCTGACATGCAGAGGGCACCAGGATGCTGTATTTAAAACATCATGTTTAAACATATGAAGGGAAAGGCTTCAATTTTCCATAATTCACTACATAAAAACTTATAAAAACACAAAGCAAAAGAATAACTTAAAATTATTTGCAACAAATTAAACACAGGTCTGTTCTGCCCACCATAACTCTTGATGAATTGAACATTAACAGGTTGATGGAATATCTTCTCCTCATTCCTCTCTATAAATAATGTATTTATGCTGCCTTTACACGTGAACAGGAAACCAGGTCTGAAAGCACTGACATCCAGGGGAAGGAGAAGCAACCTGATTTATGAACTCCAAAAGGAAGGCTGCAGAATGCCCTTTGGTAGTGGAATTTCCTTCTCCTTCAGGCATGTCTAGTGGAGAGAGAAAGAACAAAGAAATGTGTACTTTAATTTGCCATCTCTTCTCACGAACGCTGATGGCTCTTACTGCACAAGTTCAAAGCTAATAAAATGAACCAAAATTGATTTTGAAATGAAAGTACAAACTCTGAAGCTATCATATTTTAATATCATAATCTAAGTCAGCATTCACGAAACAAGTAATCAAGTATTTTACAGTTTTGCAAGCTTTCTTAAAAAAAAAAAGAGGCAGAATATAACACTAAACAAATGCTACAGAGAGCGTTTCAAAACGTCTACTTCCTCAGGGATCTAATCAGGGCAACAGATAAAAATAAGCAAGCCACTGACAAAAAATAGCTGTTACAGAAATGACTCAACAGAATCCGCCTCAACCTGTACATCTCTCACTCCACCTAAATTTCATTAATAATCAAAGTCCATTTTCACGGTGGAAAATAAGATGCGAGGTAAGACAGAAGCGAGATGTTTGACATCACAACTATCATTAAGGTATTACTGAGAAGTTATAAAAGACAGGTCTGGACTATCAGGTGTGCTGGAAGCAGCACCAACCTCATTATCAAAACAATGAGTATATCAAACACAGGGGGAAAAAAAACCCAAACCAAACCACTTCAAAAGTGAAATAACCACCCCTGCTTTACCTCCAAGAATTCCTTGAAACGTGACAACGAGCCCTTCTCTCTGGATTCAGTAATTGCTTCGATTCTGCAGAAATAACAGCATGTGTCAGCATCTATTTAGAGAGTTGGGTTGGATTTACAAGTGGGCACCGGGCGAATGGCCAAGATTGTGTTTGCTCTCAAACGATTTCTCCGTCTTTTCCAAAGTAAGAAACAAGGATTATTTCACATTCTTAACCATGGCTAACATACCTCGGGACAAAGTCTTCTCGGATAAGCAACATCATTTTCCAGAACTGAACCTGATACTGTTTCATGAGAGCGTTGCCACACACCTATAGTACAGAAATCGAGAGAGATCAGATGCAGAACTGCGTTTCAGAGCAGCATGACAACCTCAGTGAACCTGTTGAACATCAACCACGTAGTATTTTATCCAGATGTTTCAATAAATATACCTTCTCCTACGAGAAAACACTAAAAAATCCTCTAAATGCCATTACTGCTACCACAATCACTTTTTTTTCTTGTTGACCGTGTGGTGACTACCAACACCAATTTTATCTTCTCCTTCCTCTCCCTCCAAAGAGAACACCCTCCCCTCGTACCATTTGCTAGGACATACACACGGTGGTCATTTCCCACCCTGGCTGCTGCGGTGTGGGTTCATCAGCTTCCTTCACCACCACCACCGCCAGCAGCCCCACAGCGTTACTTCACTTTGTACTCTCCTTTCTGGAAGTCTTCAGAAGGCATTTGATAAGCACAGAAGGTGCTTGTGTTCAATAGCGTTTGTCTCCCCCAACGACAGCTTTTAATTTTGGCTCTTAGCATAGCCCTGCATTGCAGGATACAGGATTAATAGATGTTGGGCTCTGCCCTTTTCAACCTGAAAATCCCACCCTGTTTTATGAAGTAATTCAGCTGGAAAGGCCAGAGGACCTCACTGCATTGTACAAACTGATGCCAGGTGCTAAGCAAACTTTACTCTTGCAGGACTATGCAACTCTATTTAAAATACCAGGAACCTTAAAGTAAGTGCAACATCAGAAGTTGTATGTATAAAAACTTCAGGTTTTCTATCATTCGGCTCCAAAGCTTTATCTGCAAGAATGTGAAAAGATTCACGTGACTAAAGGAATAAGGAGAGATTAAAAAAACCCCGCTGTTAAAAATCACAATGAACTTGACCTTCAGAAACTGTCACCAATTCAGATCTGTTTCATCATTACTCACCCACATCACTTACCTCCAGGAAGTCAAAAAGAAGCGTAGCTGTCAAATCTACCAGAGGCTCCATATTCAGCATCTGACTGAGCCAGCGCCATCCATGCTCCAGCCCATGGGGATGTGCCTACAAAGCAACACAAAAAAGCCACCCACCACTTGTTTGATGACTTGCAAAACGCTCTTCTCAAAACAGGCAGTTCTCTGATTTAGTCTCTTCTTTATAAAGTTGTTTTACAATAGCCTAACATAAAACTTGATCATTAGGAAAATACAAAGGAAGCAGAATCCTACACTACAAATGACTTAGCATTGCTTCGTCGATCATGGTCATGACCATCTCCCAGTATATTATAAGCTGGTTTAAGATCAGCACACTTCAACAACAAATCAAGTTTAAAATACATTTAAGAGACTCCTGGGAGTGTAACAAAGTTCTGATTGTAAAGCCATCCAGGCATACCCCTTGTTTGTTTCCAAAAGGCCACCGGAGCTGAATGATAGCAGCATAAACACGAATCATTCCTGACATCCGTTTAAGAAAACGATCTTGATTTTCCATCTTCGAATCTATAAATCGATACCCAAGGATCCTAAGCATGAGAAGACATTCCAGTATTAGTAGAGCAACACACATTCCCCTGAGTCTCTGCAGTTCTCAGCTTTACTTTAAGTCAACTGCACTGAGAGCAGGGATACTCCAAAACCATACAGGAATTATTGCAAAGGCTGATCATTTCCCTGTGGATTTTATATTCCACTATTTTATACCATGGCTGTGTACTGGGTATTTCAACTTGAATCCAGCTATGGCTAGCCACTGTCCTTAGACAAGGATGAGGAAGAGGCAGCAAAACACCACTTCCAAGGTGGAAGGGCATAGCATCCTCCAGGAAAACAGGGAACAGGGTCAGGGGAGCCCCAGTGAATCTCCAGGCTCTGTGCCAGCGTGACACAGCGCCTACGCGATCAGAGAAGGGGATACACTCAGGATACAGTCTGCACCCCTGCAGGCTTCATGCTGAACAAGTCCAGTAATAAATTTACTTTTGATACTCTTCCATAGAAGTCCCCTCTTTCAACGCAGGGTAAAACGGCACAGAATAGGGGCACTTTTTGTGCAGCTGAGCTAAAAAGAGGTCTCCAACTTGAGGATGTAATTCCCAGATTCCTGAGACCACCACAGCAATTGGGAAGGCTGCATCACGGTGAGAAGATACTTCTTCTTCTGCTTGACCCTGGAGGGGGGAAAGGAAAAATCAGTTCCCACCCCTTTAAGCCATTTCTCAGACAATAAACTCCACGTTTTTTGTGTAATCAGCCTCTGCTAAAGGATCCTAATGTTTCCATGGCTATGTAGCCAACCACGGAAATGCTGATAAAGCCCTGCGCCCTCAGCTCCCACAGAGGGTGACAACCAACGTTGCCTCAGGGCAGAAAAAAGGGGTTAGCAAACACAGGCCGCGCAGGGATTTTCACTCCGAACAATCACTTTCAAATGATTACAAACCAGACCCAGTCTTACTGCAGGGGCTAATTTTGGCATATATTTACCGCTGCAGGGACAAAAGAAAGTTACAAACAGCCCTAATTTAGCAAATAAAGAAGAGAGAAAAAAACACTGTCAACTTCAAAAAGTAACTGAACAAGTGACACTTCATTTCTTGTGACGTGCTCGCTGCACAGCAGGGACAGAAGTTTGCCTCTTGGGCCTTAGCCCCCCCTCCCCGTTCTGCCAAGATGTAAGATTTTGAGCACATGTCCAGTTTTGTGATAGATCATAAACTGTCAACCTGTTTTCCACTAACAGTGTCCCTAACTAGTTCGGAATATGTAACATGTAAGCCTGGAATTTAAAATGGGTTCTTCCTCCTAGAAGAGAGAAAATAGGGGACAGGAGGGAGAAAGAAACTAAGGTTTTTTCACTTTTTTTTTAATCCATAAAGCACTTTCTCTAGTCAAGATGAACATTAACACATGCAAGCTACACACCTAGTAATTCTGTTCTTAGTAGTTAAGGGACCAGGTCTGAAAGAAGTGCTTAAAGCACCGGCTACCTTCGCCACCCCAAACAAGAGAACATTTCCTCACCACAAGTTTCTCTGTAAGTTTGTAACAAACAAAATCCAGCCCCTGTGGATGCTGAGTCACGCAGACACTTCGCCCTCCACTCTGAACAGACTTGCCAGAGAGCAGGTTGTTCAACCTGTCAAATACATCTCTCAGCCGAGAGCCTGCAAACGTAAGGGATGTATGGAGAGAGAAGATTAGGGGAGAGCAGACAAGTCTGAACCAGACCGTACCAACTTCACAAAAAACAGACCTGCAAACCACTTGTTTGCGACATCTTACTACAAACTAAATCATGAGGGAGCAAGATGCCTCTGAGGGAAGCAACAGGCCTCAAAACATAAGCAAACACTGGGTTGCAAAGACTCGGGACAGCATGCACACCAGCTTTCTGCTGCAGGGATACCTATAGAAACGTCGGGTATGCCGTGTCCTACTAAAATCATTACAGCAAAAGGCATTGCAGTAGGACTGGGTTCTTGGTTTTTTCCTGACCTGATACTCTAGAGATCTGGTTCACGGGGATCGTGGCTGCTTTGTGCAAGTCTGTTTTTATCATCTTAACCTGCGGAGCAAACAAACAACCAGCTTCAGAAAGCGTTACAAACAAAGTAAACTGCTATGACAGTTTGGGGGAGCAGAGTGTCAGAGGCAGAGTCTCTTAGAGGCTGCTGTTTTTTTTGGGTTTGGTGGATTTTTTTTTTTTTAATGGAAAGCTATCTTATTTCCCCTAAAAATTAAGACAATCACTCTTCAACAGTATCAAACTTTTGTTCCTACCTCTTTGTTGCCTTTGCAATTGCTGAGTTCACTGAAAGAAGCAATGCACTGCTCAACAGCATCCTGAAGCTTCTGGTACCACTCCATTGTATTTTTGTCTGCCTTAAGTCCAAGTGATGGTCCTTAAAAAAAAGTCAGAAGGCTAAGGAAGACCCAAAACCTTAAGACGACTTAAAAAAAACCCAAATTGCAAGGAACTAACAGCTGCACAAGTGCTTTTTTTCCCCCCAGAATTTGGTTTAGAAAGTTCTGTTCATAAATGAACGACGAGCTCTACAGGAGCCCTCCTCCTTCAGCTCAGCAGCTTCTCTGTGCAGGATGCCTGGACCTGACTCACTCTCCAGAAGGAAGGCATTTCAGTGATCTGTCCTTGCTACGTGGTTGTGTCATGCGTGACCCACCCACGCTCACAAGAGGGCACGGTGTTATTCTCTAGATTCCAAGAGATGGCATACTGCCTGGGAAGAGCAGTAATACAGTCCATTCATGCTGCATCAGTTTCAATTTAAGAGTTGCTGCCAGCAGTCCCACACCCATTTTGCTAGTTGTGCTAAAAGTACAACAAGCTGTCCTCTCACAATGGGATTCCCAAGTAGTATTTACCCTTCGTAAAAGAGTGTGTAAGGAGGGAAAGAAGGAAAAAGAGGGAGAGAAAAAAAGGCCAACCAACCTTCCTTCTGCTGCTTTCCACCTGACTGCTGTGCAGGGGCAGGAGTCTGAGCCTTCGACTCCTCTTTTTCTAGTAACTCTTTCTGCTTCTGTCTCTCTTCCTCTTCATTCTTCCTTTTTTCTTCCACAGCTGTAGCGATTTCCTGCTGCATGCTGGATATCAACCCTCGCATCTCCTGCAGTGCTCGTTCAGCACTGCCCACGTCTGCTTGAGTAGGGAAACCTCTCTGTCAAGAAGCAGAGGTGGCAATAGAGCATCAGTCTTTTGTTCTGCTACCTGTAGACCAACAGCAAGGAGCCTCTGGAGCACTGGACTTCGGATAACCTGGGAGCCGAGTACACGTTTTATCCTCTTTGGTGAACAGGACTTTTTCTCCTTTATTTATATAATATTGGTCATAATTTTCATACATAGTGTTAGTCCAGGAGTAGATCTCACAAGATCCTGGACAACAAAAATGACACTTTGACAAGTGTAAGGGAACCCCAACACAAAGCCTAGACAGCTTTCCTCTGCAGAAAGTCAGCTGTGACAATCTGGAACAAAGAACTACCCATATAACAGCAGTGTTTGATGTTCAAGGTTTGTATCCCACCTCTACATAAAGGGAAAAAAAAAAAATCACGGAAACCCAGTTACTGCAAAAAGGCTTCTGGGTACAGGAGAACTATAATGTGTTCAGTATGTCTCTAACAGTTTACAAACTATCCACTTCCATGGTTGTCTCAAAAAGGAACTTTACAGCATGAAAAGTTCACCATATTTCAATATTCAGTCTTTTTCCTGTATAAATCCTCATGCATTTTTATAAGCCAGTTCCAAGACAGCAGCTAAAGTGCCACAGGAAGATAATTCTCCTTTTAACGGCCTCGTAACAAGCTGCCTTTGAAGAGAGTTACAGGAAGCTTTATGAAGGAATGACAGGCGAAGTTGAGAACAACTCCCGAGCTCCCACCTCACTTGTGGTGCGGATGAGTCCTGACAGCAGCCCACAGATCTGGTTGCCACGATTACTGTATGTGGAAAGATCGATTTTTGGCAAGTCTTTTTGTCTGTAATTGGGATCAATCTGCTTGTTAAGCTGCAGCACTTCCTCCTGGATAGAGTAAAGGCGATGCAATCGTTCCTGGCCCTCTTCCTTACGGGAACGCTCCAGCTCCTCCTGACGCTGCCTCTGCTGCTCTGCCTCACGCAGTCTTAGGTTTAATACCTGGGGAGAAAAAGACACAAGAGACACAAAATATTTAAGTGACTCAAGCTTTACAGGTCCTTGCTGGTCTGATGCCTCTAGCTTTACAGGGCCTTCCTGCTCCTACAACACATGCGCCTCTACGGCATTTCTACAAGGATGCAGCAGGTGTCTAGGACAGCAGCAGAGAATACACTCACTCGTTTACGTTTGTATGTAAATACAAATAAATTGGTTGCTCTTTCCAACTCCCACCAAGTAGTCACAGGCTTTCATGAAAGAAAATCAGAAGCCTCAGACCTTTGCTCTGTGTCTGTGTTCCTCCTTCAACTTCTCTTGCTGCCCCTGAGACTCCTTTGAGCTGCAACAACAAAGACAGAAAAACAGTTTTCAAGACGTGCACAAGACAAAATACAACCAACCACACAGCAAGCTTCTTTCAAAACAGGCCAAGCTAAAGGAACTCAACTGTCACAAACACAGCTGTTTTCTAACCCCTGAAACCTCAGCAATAGCCAGAGATTGAGTTTGAAAGACAAACAGTTAATCTGAGAAAAGCAGACGGTGAGATTTTCAAGTACAAGTGACTAGCATATGATCATGAGGCACAAGAATTAATCCTCACTTTGATTAAATAATATTTTAAGGATACCAAGTATCAGAGCTAATCTCACCTCTTCTCCATTACTTCTTGCAAATCTCGGAATTCCTGATGCTGCTTTAGCTCCTTCAGCTCATCAAAGCGCTTCAGCTGTTCGCTGGCCAGGTCGTACACTGCCCTCACCATCTGCTCTTGCTGCTCCTGCCGTTGCCTCAGCTCCTCCTGCAGATTGCAGAGGTGCCAGAAGCACCACAACACCGTAACCAACGGAATTTGGACAGAAGAAAATACAAATGAAATTGCCCCAAATGGGCCAACGTGGTGTACTTGGGGAGGTTATCCTAAACTTTACTCTCCAAGGTTTAGGACAACCGACTGTCCTGCTACCTTTACTGTTGGTACCTCTGGTTATGTAGCTGTCCCGTGATTCACATGCACCTCAATCTCTTTATTTTTTAATTACCTTTCCTTTCAACCTGTGCATCTCTTCGTACATCCAAATGCAGCCTTCAACTTCTGTAATTTTAGAAGGCAGAACTGCTGGAAAGACTTCTTCATCCATTGCTGGCAGATTAAGATCATCATTTCCCTGCATGGTCAGCATAAAAGCAAAGTCAGTGACTGACTACAGCATCAACAACTCATGGAGAAAACCAGCTAACTCAGGTCCCCTAAATCACATATTATTTGTAGAAAAAGAGACAAGGGTGTCAACCAACACACAACTTTTTAGAGTAGTTCTATGCCACAGTAGTGTAGCCTCACAATTTTTAATGTCCTCCAGTACCCATATAAGGTTGGGATAACAGCTCTTCCCAATCACCAGAATTTGGGAGGTGTATTGGGTTTGCATGGCAAGGTTTGGGGTGGGGTGGGAGGGGTGGCAGGCTGAGCTCCAGGGGTGGCTTCTGTGAGAAAAGAGACAATGTCAGCTGGCTCCAAGATGGACCCACATCTGGCAAAGATCAAGCCCAACAGCAACAGCAGTAGCGCCTCTGGGATATCACAGTTAAGATGGATGAGGGAAACTGGGGAGAAAAACTGCAGCAGGGAGAGAGAGAGATGCAAGAGGTACAGCTCTGAAGATGCCCAGGTCAGCAGGCAGGGGCAGGAGGTGGTCTGGGGGCGGTAGCAGACTC